GCAGGGACCAGAGAGGCTGGTTGGCCGCAAGGAGGCGCCTGAGGCATGGAGCAGTGGGGAAGATCAAAGGGAGTTTGTCCCTGACGTCAGGCAACGTAGGGCAGAGAAATGGAGGCAGCGGTTACGGAGACAGACTCATAAGAGATAATCAAGTCCAGGTGGCTGTGGCTTGGCCCCTCCCAAGAGGGGACTAAGAAGAGACTTTGGGAGGAGTCCTTTTGCAGGACACAACCATTCGTAATAATCTGGAGAACTCCTTGTCTGGTCTGCCTTGTGTTCCCATGTCTGTTGGAGTCTGGGTTGCTGCCAACGTCTTGCCAGTGAGTTGTGTCTGGGCTTTCAGCCAACAGGATTATAATTGCTGTGAATAAAGAGTGGCAAACAGCTAAGCCTGTGTCTGCATTCATTACTGGACGGAGGAGGGCCAGAACAGATATAGATATGATAGCAATAGCATTTAGACTTATATACCACTTCACAATGCTTTATGGCCCTCTCTAAATGGTTTAGTCAGCATCTTGCCCCCAACAAGCTGGGTCCTCATTTTACCGACCTCGGAAGAATGGAAGGCTGAGTCAACTTTGAGCCTGGTGAGATTCAAACTGCCAAACAGCTGGCGGCCAGCAGTTAGCAGTACTGCACTCTAACCACTGTACCACCACGGCTCTGTTATAATGCTTAGCATAAGTCAAAAATACGTGTTATTAGACTGTAAAATTGGACAGACTTCTCAATAGCTTTTCTTTTTACTGTCACACTGCTTATTTGAAGGCACTGAAACCAATTAAGTGTGGCAGAATGCCGCATACTAAGCATCTTGAGAGCTTTTATCCTTGTCCTATTCTTAATAAAATCTTGAAATTCCTACAAACTATTTCTCCACTGAGCAAATTTATTAGAGGCTTTGTCTTCATAAAAGCAAACATTTAGAACACTGCAGGAGGGGAAAAGCCCAGATTTATTATTTTCCTGTATATCTCAGGCATTCAGTAGTTTACTTAGTCTTGCATAATAACTTCTAATTTGTAGATCCAGATACATATGAACAACTTCTTGAAGACTGGAAGAGTAATTTATTACTTGTCTGTGCCAAGTAATAGCTTATCTTCAATAAATAGAGAAATTGTTTGAAAAAGAGAAGTTTAGTCGTGGTGAGAAATTCATTTTGACAGCTGTGATTATTCTTAACCATGATACATTTAACATTTCCCATCTAGAAATATCTGTTGATATATTTTTCCAAGATTAAATAATTAATCTTAAATATTTTTTTAAATCCAAAATATTTTATCTTTTTAGCAGGAAAATTAAAGTCTGTTGTTTGATAAGAACATTGCTTTTCATCCTGTCAAATTCCATTCCAATGCATGTTTTTTTTTTCTTTATTAATTCCACAACCTAATGGTGAACCATTTTGTCCCAACAATGTTAAAGACCCTCTGGACTGAGTAATTTTGAATATTATATCATAAGCATGCAATTTTAATTTATATTCTGAAGTAATTGCACCTCACTAGATCCTACTGATGCTAACAAGAGTCAGTTACAGTAACAGGAGTTTTTCCAGTTACTACCACCTTTTTTCTTACATTAGCTCTTTTATCTATAATATTAGAAGCATCACTTTTAACTATGTTGAATCCCAAAATCTCCTTTTCTTTATCTCCCATTTATCTGTTCTTACTTCCTGCACAAGCTCATCTATTTTACCTATCTTCTTTCTACTAACAATATTACCGCTTACTCTACTAAGTTTTTCCCTCAAGGAATTAATTCTTGTTCAGCATTTTTTTTCAGAACTAACCTTCACTTAATTGGTTTTCTACTGCCACATCACCACTTTTATTGTCTCAACTGTGCTTTATCAGTTGTTATTTTTCAACATTCCAAATATTCCAAACTATAAAATTATATAAAACTATATACTATATAATCCATTAATGAAATATTAACTATAAAACAATCTGAAGATAGACTACTGTATGTTCAATCAATAACTACATGTAGAGATAACATTTAGTTTGTAGTTGTTGCAATAATAGCTATTGTACTTTCTGCTTACACAATTTTAATAAGAACAATAATAAATTATAGTAAACAAAAGCAAAAATAATTGAAAGAGACTGAAACAATGAAAGCTTGATAGAAGTGACAAGTAATAATTAAAGTCCTGTTTTCCACGTGAATTATTTCAATTGCATTAAAAAGAACATCATATTATGAGATTTACCAGTTTGATAACTGTAATTAAGAATCAGATTGCTTGGTTTTTCAAAGGCTAATGAATAAAGATATATTTTAAGTTTTTAAAAAAAATAATAGGTAAGTCTATGTATGAGAAAAGAATTACCTTGAATCCAGATCTTCACCAATAATTTCTTCTAATTTATCAATAAAGTGAATAAACTGAGAAAGCCCCTTCACATGAGTTCTTAAAGGATCAGTTGGTAAAGGAGCATATCCTTTTCCTCCAAGTTCTATGACACGTATAAATGAAGTTGCCATCTAACAAGAAACACATAATTTAGTTACAATATGTAAAATGATAATAGAAAAAGATAGGTTTTTTTAAAGAAATTCTTTACAAAAAAGCATAAAAACTTTTACTTCATAAAAATGCATTCATTGTCTGTTGGAAATTGAAATAATGTTTTCTATTTTCTGTATGTAATCATCATATATCAAATTTATGCCCTCTTTTGCTTTTAGGTTCTTAGATGTTCTAGTACGATGTTCTAGTTTTGCTTCTGGATTTTCCTGTGACTCTGACAATGAGCAAAGATCAATGTTTCTAAGATTATATTAAAAGCAGTAAACCAAGATGATATGAACACCAGCATTTTCTGACCCATTTTCCCCCCTGTAACCTGCTGGAAAAAACCAGTGCATATGGAAGACATTTCCTTTCACATGGCAAATCTCAGCATGTATAAGTCTCCAGTTGGGACAACCCACAAGACTGTTGAATGGGAATGAGTACTTTTTAGCCTTGTTTCTTTTACAATTAAAACAATCCAGAGAGTTCTAGTGTATCCCAGCACACATACCCAATTTTTTTCTTTCAATAGCAGTGCCCATACACATTGTATCAAATTGTTCAGAAACCCCCAGATTTCAAAAGGGGCCTACTGTACAATAGAAATTATCGTTGGAAAATAAAATATTCTACAAAATGTAACTTGAATAGAGGATGCTCTGTATTACAGCCAAACAGCACAATCATATACAACTCAAAAATAACCACTAATTATGTTATTTTAGACTGTAATCTTATATTATTTTAAAATAATGTGGAAAAGCATGGCATTTCAGCTCGTACTGAAAACTTGCAAGCATATTTGGTTATTAACTGATAGTTATATTTTGATCCCAAAATCACATGAGAAATTGAAGCTGGGGTACAATTAAATTAAAAAAAAATAGCAAGAAAGATTTCTTTTGGAATGTCTGGACTGGGCAAGGAATTACTATTTTAAATCAGTTGATTTCTAATGGTTGCTTTAAAGTTCTTGAGAAACAGTGCTTTATGTCAATACTCTGACTTACCTCTAATATATACTTGGCCAAATGCATAACATTATATGAGAAATGTTATAAATTAGGTATCTCAATGCAATATTGAATTATATCCCTAAAACATGTCCCATTTATAGCTTTGGTTTATTTATCCTTGAATGCAGCAAACACAGTAATTTCATGTCACTTTAAAGAAAATTGAGAGAGCTGTTTGGTGTAGTGGTTTAAAGGCATCAGGCTAGAAGTGGGGGAATGAATGATTTGTAGCCCTGCCTTAGGACCAAACCAGCTGGGCCATTCACTCTTTCTCCCAGGAAGCAGGCAATGGCCAACCATTTCCAAAATTCTTGCCAAGCTAAATACAGGAACTTTTCCAGGCAGTTCCCAGCACGGATTTGAAGGGACAGAACACTTGCACAGTATAAATGTATCTATTTTTTTTAAAAAAAACTATGTGTTCCAAAAATAAGATGACACAGTAAGGTATTTAAATGGATTGGATTTAATTAGAAGCTCAAGGATTGAATTAACTACATAATAAATTATAGTTATTATATATAATTACATAATTTTGCTAATTAATTTTTGTTATGTTTTTTATTTCAATCATTATACAGTAATATAATATTTTTTCATTCATAAATAGAGATAATATTATGAATAATACCATCAATTGTTTACTATAAACTGATCTTTATATCTGCCAAAAATAATACTTATATACATTTGCTTAATGTAGAAAAAGAATCCCAAGTTAACTTTTGAGTAGAGGAATCAACTATCTAAGACTATTTTGTTACATCTCTTCAATGTCATCCCAAAGCAAAGCGAAGCAAAGCAATCTCTCATACATACCGGAAATATAGACATTTGTTTCTTCTGGGCAGCATGCTTTAGGTCAGTAAAAGCCTCTCTTCCAAGTCCTCTGTCAGGAATGTTTAAAATGTGAGCAAAAGCCAAATCATTTTTGGAATTAACCAATAAGGTTAAATATGCAAACAAAATTTTCTTCACCATCAATGGCAGCTGTAATTAAAACACAATCCTATCATTTTTCTTCTAGATTGCTTCAAAGAAAATATCATGCAGCAATGTATTAGGAAACTTTCTTAATAAAGTAAAATGTGATCCATATATTTTTCAAATTACTGACACTGTTTTGAAAAAATGTATTTATATATTTGTTTATATTTCATATTTGTTAACTATCCATCTTCCTTGGAGAGGCTCTCTGGGCAGAGCACAATATAATCAGTAAAATTAAATCAGAATAATTTAAGATTAAGATTAAAAACTTTAAAATTATAAAACATTATAAACGTTTTATAGAAGAATTCCAGGATGGGGGATTAGAGGTTGATAATAGAGCAGGGTGGATCTCATGGGGACAGCCAGCCCCATAGTTGTGTGTGCCACGTGTCTCCCCCTCCCCCACAAGGCTACACAGCCAAGTTTTTAGGTAAGAATTAGCATAAATAAGCATGGATTGACCATAATTTTATATTATTCGTATAATTTTTTTACCTTTACCAATCTGGCATTTAGAACATTTGTGTGGATCAATAGATAATGGATACTATTTCATTGCTAAATTGTTACTTCAAATGCCAATAAATGTTCTGAAAATACTCAATTTTATTTCTGAACAGACTTTTAAAAACCATGTAATACAGAGTGTAAAGCAAAACCCCAAACAAGACTTGGGAGTTCAACAAGTGAAAAGAATAGGGCTTTGACACTAACCATTAAAATGGGAAAAACAGGTAGCATAATAATTAGCAAATAAAATTTTTATTATGGTCACAGACCAGTATAATATAATTATATTTCATAAGAAATGTTATAGTACTTAGGAAATAAAATAGAAGGCACAAGTCTTACCTCTTCCTTATCGTGGTTTATTTTCCTCGTTGGTGTGGAGAGTGCATAATTAGTAGAATTGTTCTCGGTTATTAAATCTGCTGTTCCAGCAATAAATTCTAACAATTGTACCTTTGGCAAAGAAGAAATTTCAGAATTATAGTTAGCTTGATAGTCACTTTTTAAAAAGAAGCAAGCTAGAAAACTTCACTTTCACATTTTTAAAACAATGATAGGTGAATGTTTAAAAAAAAGTGTTGTCCATTTATATAAAAAATGAGAAAGAATTGTGCTTTGGGAAGGTTCTTGAAATCTACTTAGCAGAACCAATGAACCCAATATGGATGAGACTACATCAAGATAAAATAACAGAATTTAAGAAGAAAGATTATAACATTTATATATTACTCTGTGGATGTTCAAACATGTATTAAATCAATAATAAATAAGCATTGATAAATAAATCTTTTCTTTAGATAAGGCATCAACATTAGTAATTCTACAAAAACGCGGAGAATGATCTGTTAATTTTAAATCACATAATCTGTGGTTTTACAATTTCAAGACCATTGTGCCGGTAATTTACTGTAGCATCTTTTAAATAAAATCATAATAATGCTACCGCACTTTACAAAAATTCCTATTAACTCACACCTAATAAGTTAGACATTACTGCTTTGTTCATGGTTTATTTCTTTCAATAAAGAAATATTTTCAATATTTCATTATTGAAAGCTATAAAATTTCCAATTTATATTAGAAACATTTTTTATTTGATATCTGTACATTCAAATCAATAATGGCACATACTTACAGAAGGTATAGGTTCAATTTGCAGTCCTAGTGTCTCACATTTTATATATATATCTACAAGATCCATCATATTGCAGTGCTTTAAAAAGCTAGCATAGGTATTTCTGATGTCTATATAATTTTCAGGAGCGTTTGCATTTTCAGATAATATACCTAATTTGTCAGGAACAAAGTAATTCCAAGATAGTATCACTTCACTAAGAGATGCTTTAAACTCACCACAAAGCTATAAAAAAAGAAGAAAGAATTATTCAGAATAACTGTGTACTGATGCTTACAGCAACATCAGTCAAGTGTTAAACATGTTTTACAAACTTAACTGAGCTGAAATGAGAGCTATTGTATCAGGAAAAATGAACTGTAACTGATTACATTTTTATCATTTTATGACATTTATAAAAGTGTTCTTCGTTGATCAGCTAGCAATGACACTGAACTAAGCAACCCAGGTGCACCTTCACATGTATATTTTTTTCTATCTTTTGCTTTAATTCTTGTGATATTCATGATAATTCAGCATGATTCCTGCATGTACTGCATATTGCATCTATTTGATTGGATACATTTAACCAATGCAAACTGTCACATGCACTCTCTGTGAATAAAATAAGCAGGAAATAGAAAACAAGGCAGGAAAATAGCAGAGAAGATAATGATTGCCATTTGTTATTCCTGTTGCTTTGGTAAATGGGTAGCCTGGGCTTTGCCCATCTTCTCATAAAAGAAAAGTTGTGGTTTTCCACCAAGCAACTAAGGGTTAATAATTGAATTGTCAGGCAACTAAGCCATGGTTTTGTGAGAAAGGTAAAGCAGGGAGAATTTTCCTGAAGGACAAGATAGAAAGAAAATGTGACAGGAGAACATATGAAAGGACCAAATGTTTTTACATTATATTGGTTGTTGAATTACATTTACAGTGTATTAATTGAATATCAATTACACTTACTAGGAACAGTAATACTATAGTGTTTTGAAAATTACTGGGTGATTATACTGTATTATCAAACAATAAATAATTTATCTGTTTGCTGCTTTAGCCCAACAGGACTTGGAGGAATTTTTGTCCAACAAAACATTCAAATTGTTTCAAGCTTTGCTCTAAAGTTGTATTTTTCCTAAATGTAAGTTAGTCTGATTTATTATAAGCTTTTGGATATTAAAGTGATTTGTTCCATATGGTATAAGATTGCAGTTTAAAGATAGTGGAATATATTTTTTCACTAATGTTTCTGAAACCAGTTCTTCGAAATGCAACAGCTAGCTAAGTTCCAATTTAATTCAGTCAAAATCTTTTCTCACAAGATGAGGAATTTTCAGGGCTTAACTTTGTTTATACTGGTATTATAAAAACAATTTAAATCCAAATAAAAATGCTGTCCAAATATCAGTTTTCATGATCAGGTGCCCACCATGACAGCATATTATTCATAGAAAGGACTGTAAGAGTTTGTGGTAGAACTCAGAAAATGTTTTGCTAGGACCAAATGCCAGCTGGCTAATTCATAAAGGAAGTTCATAAAGTTCAATAGCTTAAGTCTGTGATAGACAACAAGAATATTGTATTTCACAAAGGTAAAATGAAGAAAAATGTACAATTCTTAAAGCTTTGCAGTTCTAACATTATTCTGTAGAAATCATATTTTTGTATCAAAGTTTAAAAATGAGTTTTTCCATAAAAGTATTTTTTGTGTGTGCATGACACTAATGAATGCCTTTTAGAGATGTAACTATGGAAAAATGATTAAATGCTTCTTTTACAGCTTTTCTTCCCAGTCCTTTTAACATTTGCAGAATCTGAATATATTTTCTATATAAGTATTCTTCTTTAGTGTTATCTTTCATGACATTTTCAATACAGGTGCCTTTTTACAGTTGCAAAAGCTAGAGTTCTCTGCAGCTATATCTGTCCTATGGAACAGAAATGCCTCCCCCCCAAAAATGGATGGCATCAATCTTGTTAGCCTTTCACAAGGCTAACAAGACCTAGATTTTCCCACAGCCATTTGGGTCAACAGTTATGTGGTGTCTTTTTATGATGTAGGTTTTTTTTTCTGGGGATTACTTCATGCATTTATATTGTTATGGTGGTTTTAAATTTTTTACACTGCTGTGAGATGCAGTTCTATAAATCATACATTTTTTAAAATTCTTTTTTAAGTAAGTTACCGGGTAATTTTCTTCATTTGGATTCTTTATTTGGGACTTTTACTAAATATTTTATATCTATTTTGTGCATCACTTAGAGCAGGTATGTCCAGCCCACAATCTGTGAGCTCTATGTGGCCCTCAACAGCTAGTAATGTGGCTCCACAATATCATAAATGTTTTAACATTATTATATGATTTACATACGTTACCTATATTATATATTTTATATGGGAGCCAAGACAATTCATCTTCACTCAATGAACACCAGGCAAGCTAAAATGTAGATACCCATAACCCTCAGTGTTTATGTTTAACAGATGAAATAAGCCAAAGATAGCTGAACCGATGAAATAAACCAAAGATAGCTGAACATTTCTATAACTGCACGTGATTAACTCCTATCATAGTCATATTTTGTGAGGTAAAAGTAATATTTATACTTTTACAAACTGTGTAGTCAGATTAACAAGTCTAGCTTTTCAGCTTAAAACATATATTTATTTTATATAGATTATGTTGGGAAAAGAGGCATAAACAAAGATATTTAAGTTGCATTTTGGAATTACAGATAAAGCTAAAAATGATTTACTTCTTACATTTCACTTATTTTTCCTCTGCTTACAATTTTAGAGCATAAATTCCTTTGAGCATAAAATTTCTGCGGTTGATCTCACCAGAAAAAGTAAATTTTCTTGGAAATGTTTGATGAGATACTTCATCTTTCAACTGCATGCAGTTGAAGAGAGATTAAAGAAAAAATGATTCCAGTGTAATAACAATTGTTTAATATATCCTTTTTCCTTTTACAGCGCAGATCACCATATAATGATTAAACCATCCAATAATTTTTTTTAAAACCAAGCAAGTTATTGGCAGCAATTTAAAACGTATTCTAGTTCTTGTGCACTGATTGCCCCCAATGCTATGGTAGTCATATTTCTATCTAAAACCTGGAGGTTAATTGTGTTTCCCTTGAGAATTTTATAATTGGAATGCAACCACTAAACTATTCCTACTTGGACTGAAAGTGAACGACCAACCTAAAACCTACTGAGTTTCCCCTACTGACTTTGAGTCTCCCAGACATACTGTACATCTTAACTACCATATAACACCATCTCTCTATGTAACAGAAAACATGTTCTACATTCAGACATTTGTGAGGTTTGAACATGCATATTCATATACTCTTGTTTAAACAAAGAACTTATTATAGCAAATTCAGGAACTAGCGTTTGTTTGAAGCCTAAGTGATGCAGAAGCTAAGATATTAAATTAACTTTTTATGAGGCAGCTAATCAAAGAAAATAACAAGATTTTGATGAATCCTTTAGTAGTTTTTCAGCAGTAAAAAATTTTTCTATTCCCAAATATCAGAATAATGAACAAAATATTATTAAGATACCCTTCAAAGTACTTTGGGTTTTATGGTCTCATTGACTTATTTTAAAAAGTCCTTTAAATCAATATATATTAACCTTCTTATTAATTTCCGCAACAGATAAGTGCAAAGCCATCAGCATACAATCTGCCCCACATACTGTAGTCCTTTCTGAATCTGAAAATAAGCGCCAATTTCTCCGGAAACATTTAATCATATTCCAAATGCTTTGCTGAAGAGGAGTCATTATCCTAAATAATAAAAAAATTAAATCATACAGGACAACTTGCAAATATTAAGAATTTACAATGGCTTCTATAAGGAAGATAACAGCAATGGAAGGAAATGCAAAAGTTCAAAATACAAAATTGGACAGGAAGCAAAACTAAAGACAACCTAAAATGGGTTATCAAGGTAACTATGTGGCAAAAGGACATCCTGGAAAATAACAGTATTACACTTAAATATAAGATAGAATCCAATTTGGGGACTGCAGTTCAAGATTTTTGAAAAACTGCCTTTGAAGTTGAATATAAAAAATGATAAAGTAGGATCTCCCACTTGGGTCTCTTTGTGTACTTGGCCTATAATTCCCATCTATTGTAGATAAAATAACCATTAGTCAGTCAGCACTATGTTTAACATTTAGAAAATGAATCATAAGCAGCAAACAATGTAACTGAGAACAGGAAGCTTAATGATAGGACAGTACAGGGGAAATAGTTTATAGCTGACATATGATAAATAGAATCAGCATAGGAATTCAAAAAATTATAAACAAATTATTCCTTGACAAACTTATTTATCATCTAAATTAATTATTTGAATAGGCTCACTTTTAAAGTCTTAAGTGTTTAATTTATTTCTACTTATATACTACAAAAGTCAGAATAATTTCAGGCACTTTATTTCATAAAAGCATAAAAATAGCATAACCTAAAATTAATATAAAAACAGAATCCTGCAATCTGTACAGCAGTGACTATTAATTGCCAACGCCTAGTTTCTCAGGCATTTTCTTTACTTACTTTATATGCCTCCCATTCTTAAAAGCTTAGGATCAACATAAAAAGCACCCTCTCAAAAATAAGAAACCCACCCACACTATAAACAAAACTGACATTAAATTAAAAATATACAAAATCATGTGGTCACCTTATTCCAGTCTTAATTGATAACATGACCTCTTTCTGTCTTAATTGTTCTTCTGAAAACTAGGAAGGCAGCAGCTGACTGGACCTTCATGGGAAATTCCAATTGGGACAGCAATTGAAAAAGCATGCTTCTGAAGCCCATTAAATGACAATCTTATATTATCTCAAAAAATTACAAGATCATATTTTGTGAGATCACTAAGATACTCTCAAACTTGTAACATCTGAAGATGTGGATAGCAACCTCTATGGAAAGAGGTCACTCACTTATGGATAAAATAGATGTCCTTCTTTGTCTTGTAAACATGGCCGGAGAGGGCATGAACTCAGTATGGAAGGTAAACATCTCCTTGAGAGAGAAAATGATACCACAGGCCTTAAAGTAAGCAGTAGTCTTTCTCCACCCATCCAGAAGTCATCACTTGAACCTGTCCATCTTAATTATAATTTAATTTTTTTAAGTGTGGCACAAGCATAAGATTTTATTTCCGCTTCCTTTTGCTTTACAGAGCTATGAAGGTCATACAGTTACTCTTTCATTACTGGCATAACTGCAAATGGTCATTAAACAAGGACTATCTGTAATTGAAATTGACTATTTCTATTGAAATGCTCATAAACATGCTGCTTTGTAATCTAATTTTCTCCAATATAGACTTCAAACTGAAAATTCTGAAGTCTCCCATGTGTCCCTTCATCCTCTTTTTGAAGACGATAATATTTGCTCTCCTCCAGCCTCACCTTCAAGAATTCTTGAGAGCAGTTTAGCAATTGTTCCTACTAGTTTCTTTAGTACTGTAGGATGCAATCGTCTGACTTTTAGTTCTTTAAATTGCCGAAGTTCTCTCTTACCCTTTGTCTTATTGAAGCTGGAGTTCTCTCCTTCCTCCAATGACCTAATAAACAGCAGTTAGGGGTCCATTTCCCTTCTGAGAGAAGATAGTCATAAAATAGTAATAGCACTTAGACTTATATACCACTTCACAGTGCTTTACAGCCCTCTCTAAGCTGTTTAGAGAGTCAGCATATTGCCCCCAACAATCTGGATCCTCATTTTACCAACCTCGGAAGGATAGACGGTTGAGTCAACCTTGAGCCAATGAGAAAGGAACTCCTGGCAGTCAGCAGAATTAGCCTGCAATAGTGCATTGTGGGGGCTGAAAGGGAGCTCCTGGTGGGGGCTGAAAGGGAGCAATTCTGATCTCTCATCATTTCTTCTTCATAGACCTCCACCTACCTTGGCTTTTACTTAATGTGCCTGAAGAATATGTTTTAAGTTACTTCTGTTGTTTGTCAACTGAGCTCTCTGTGTAGCCATAGAGATGAGCAGTCAGGGGAGGGGAGCCTACTAGACTCCCAATTCTCATCAGAGCAGAAAGTAAAGGTTGCAGTCAGATGAGCCTTTGGTCAGCTTCAACATACTTGCCAGTTGCGACCTTTACGGGACTAGGTGACACTGAAGACATTGACTTATGCCCTTGACATCTCATATTTTGGCTACATCATTTTCTCGACATGTGGTTAACCTGAAAATAACCTAAAAGCTACAGCTAGCACAGAATCTATCTATTGCTGAATAGTGCTTAGGAAACAAACAGTTATGTTGTGAGAACTATATTGGCTTCTGGGTCCAATTCAAACTGCTGGTTATTACTTATAAGGCCTTCTATATTGGGTCTTTGCCGCCTTCTATATTGGGTCTTTGCCACCTTCGGGAACATGTTCCCAATACAACCTAAAAGAGAGCACTGCAGGCACTTATTTCCAAGATATCAGGGCCCCAGATGGATTTCTTGATGGCAGATAGTGTGTATCCCCAGATTAAGATTATATCTTATCTGTTAATAGAGAGTAAAAAAATGCTCTTTTATAAAAAAATAATAATAATTAGGCCAATAGCAATAATGGAATTTTTTTAATCAATCCATTTAATTTAGTATTGTTGCTGCTCATTTTCTCACTGTAAGACACCTAGTTCTGTGAATAGGCAACTTCCAAATGAATGGATAGCTTAAAAATCATGATCAAATAATCTCTGGATCAATACGAACTTGGAGTGAGAGTCAAATGATGGCATAAAGCTTACCAAATAGTTTTTGTCAATTAAATAATTGTCTACTGTATTGAATGAAAGGCCAAAATAATGTCTTAGACAAAGAAGAACTGCACCATAGCAAAACAGAGCAGCCTACTAAAGGAGAAAAATCCTTCTCAGCATGTCTATTACTCATCTCACATTAGTCTCTAATAAGGCACTAAGATTAAAAATTGAAACTGAACTAAGAAGTGTTAATTAAAACAATCCAAGTTTCATTTTTTTTTGCAAAGCTTCACCTACTTGCTTGATTGAATTTCAGTACTGACTGCAGCCCAATTCCAACACAACACAGTAATTACATTTACATAGCAAGCTAAACAAATATTTTTTTTTACAGTTGTGTGTACCCCAAGAGCTAATGGCAATGTGTTGGATAAGCCCACACAGCAACAATATACCAAGGTTAAAGCATATTTTTCTTCCTTCCAACCAGCCAGTATAACTGTTACCTTGAAGACCCCTTTGGCAATTTAACCACAGGTAAATTGACCTGTTTGTCGATCAGAAAGGCCGGCAGTTCAGAGGTTCAAATCCCTAGCGCCGTGTAACGGAGTGAGCTCCCATTACTATCTAGCAGTTCGAAAGCACGTAAAAAATGCAAGTAGAAAAACAGGGACCTCTTTGGTGGGATGGTAACAGCCATCCGTGCACCTTCGGTGTCTAGTCATGCCGGCCACATGACCACGGAGACATCTTTGGACAGCGCTGGCTCTTCGGCTGCGCACTGCCCCCTAGAGTCGGAAACAACTAAGACATATGTGCGTGGGGAACCTTTACCTTTAAATTAGCCTGCAATTATCCAACGAAGATAAATAGGCGATTCCAAACAGGCAAAAATAATTTTATACAAAGTCTTTGCATAAGGCATGGCAATGAGCACAGCGAAATTTTAAAATATTAAGAAAAATCTAGGAAACAAAACAACCTCTTAGTGGCTCTTGGTTATGATGGCTATGTAATCAGTGGAGGAGACTGTTACAGTCATGCTCTGCCTGCGAACTTTTTCCCGGTTGCTCCATCAGCAGTCTGGTATATATACCATATCCGAATAGTCTGTATAAGCATAGAGGGCTGTCATCTATATATATTTAGATGACAGCCCTCTATGCTTATACAGACTATTCGGATTCTTATGAAAATGATTAGATTCAGTGTAAGAGCAAAGCAAAAAACCCATCCCTCTCCCTTACTTGTTGGTCACACACTTCAAGTCCTAGATGCGCTTTTCTCGCAGCGTCGCTCGCCTCCCTCAAACTCACCGCGCCGTCAAAAAAAAAAACACACACCATAGAACCTTTTAACTCGAGCAGCCACCCATGGCGGTTTATTTTTAAACGCTCCGCCGTCAGCCAATCGCAAAGCGGCGGCCTTTGACGACCCGGAAGTGTTTTTCCACGGGGTGGGAGAGTGAAGCTATCCGGAAGTCCTGCGCTGTAAGCGAAGTAGCCGCGGGAATTTGATGGGTAAATTTGTGGAGAAAGTTTTTCCTCTTGGTGGTGGGTGTGGGCGCGCGCGCTCGACAGTTTCTTTTTCCCGCGTAAATCTAGGCCTGTGGAAGAAGAGGCTGGTTCCTCTGAGGTGAGGAATGAGCTATACGGGGCGGCGAGGCTATTTCATGCAGGAATACTCGCTTCAGCCCGCTGTCTTCTAAGCCTGCCTCAACCCCTGGGACTTTGGGGGTGTTGTGTGCACCGCCCGCCCGAGCTCAGTAGGTGCCGGTGAACTGCTAACCAAGAGGTAGCTAACGCAAGCCGTTCCAAAATGTCTGATTTTTGCCATCTCTTATTATTTACTATGCATTGGTTGCACTTACTGTGCAATACATTTACTATGCATTGGTTAAATGTGGTTTCAAATATTTAAGGACTTGAGTAGTTTATGTAGTGTATGTTGAAGGCAAGTGACCCTTTGAGAGCTGTATGCAAAGAGATTTCATTGCAAGGTATGCCAATCAGAGTACATTGAAAGTGACAATAACGTTATTCTGAGTTCTAAAATGGAAGAATTAAGCTACCAAAGCTGTCCTGTTTCAGGTGAAGTTCTTAATTGAAAAATGTGCCTCTAGAGTTAGGCATTTAGATAAACCCATTTTTGTCCAACTACAGAAAGCGTTCTTCTGGTTCCTTCAACCGAAGATGAAGCAGGAGTCTTTCCGAAGAGCAGCCTATACTGTGGAATGTAAGGATTATGTGCATGTGGTAGAATTCAATCCATTTGACTGTGGCACTGCAGAATCACTCATTGCATATGGTGGCAATAATTACGTAGTTGTTGGGACTTGCAGATTCCAGGTTAGTATACTCTAATTCTTAAATTTATGTGGAAGCCTTAATATGGGGGGGAAAAGACTACATTTTGAGTTACATCTGAAATTTGAGGAAAGTGTTTTAGAAACTCAATGGACAAGATATACATAAAATAGAAATTTCCAAAGGATAATTGGTGACTCCATGACAGAAGCAGCAGCAAAGTATTGTGTTGTTTAAAGACTAATAAATGTATTGAGGCATAAGCTTTAGAGGGCTGCATTTCATTTCAGCCATTATCCTGAATTCCCCAGGACACTCAATGATGGGTCTTAGCATCATTCTTAAACAAAAGAATTACAAAGATCAAATTCATATTAAAGCAGGCAAGGTAGAATTCATCAAAAAAAATGATTTCATTACCCATGTATTGCATAGGCAAGGCATTTTTACAACCTATATATTAAGTGTAAGAACAATTGTTGTGTACCCAAGTAAGTATTACAATCTCATTTCTTTATTGCTTGACCACTTAATGATTGCTGTTTCCTCCCTCTTCCACATGACCCAATGATCTCTCGAGATAATAAGTCTTTTATAAAATAGAACATTATAAGGTAAAGTGCATGCCTTAACAGACATTACTTTTTTAAATGATCCAGGATTTTGTCTTATCTGAAATAGAGGAACAAACTGTCCTTTTCATAGCATTTATGAAATTTCATAATAAGATTTATAATAAGGCTTCCTTTTTTGTAATACCTCTTGTATTTATTTGCTCATTTACTTATTTTGCCTTCCATTCCTGAAAGCTTTGGACAGCAAACAATCAATACCAGCATAAATAAAAATGCACCTAACATATGTAGTAAACCTGCCCATAATACCAAGCTGTCCTATAATCCTAGAAACATTCGCTTCCCAACACTTTTGGAGAGAAACATGGATAGTTTTTAAACCCAGCAATTAGTTTTCTTTCAGATTCACCTCGTATATGCATACAAAAATGCAAATATTGCTTCAGTAAAATATTGTGTATGTCTTCTTAGAATAGTATCCTTTTTTTAGTTCAGTGGGAGCTATACCCAGACCAATATGCATCAGATTGCAGTATTCACTTAATTTTGTTTACAAGAGAAAAGAGTATGCAAGGGTCTCATGGCAAGGAGGTAGCTTTTATTTTAACAGCCTATTCATTTGTTATGAAGCATATCAAAATATTACATCTTTAGGAAGAAGATGCAGCAGTAGAAGGAATACAATATAAAACTCTCAGGACTTTTCAACATGAAAGCAGAGTTGATGCCGTTGTGTGGAGCCCAGAAACTAGACTTGATGCTTTACCTCCCCATATAAGGTAATATGCCTAATAAAAACTTAAAGATAGCAGGATTTTATTTGGTTTTTTTTAAATATTAATTATATATCTTGCCTTTTGTCTGGGAATTCAAGACCAAATGCATAGTGGACCCCCTCCTGATTATATCTCTTTCCCTCTCTCCCAGCAATCTTTTAAGGTAGATTGGGCTGAGAAAATGACAACTTAATGTCATATAGGGAGTTGAGTACAGGCAGTCTTCAACTTACAACCATTTTTAGTGACCATTCAAAGTTACACTGAAAAAGTAACATGACTATTTTCACACTTACAATGGTTGCTCTATCTTTATGGTAACGTGATTGGAATTTGGAAGTTTGGCAGTTACAGTGTCCTCTTGTCCTGTGATCCCCTTTTGTACTCTTCTGACAACAAAGTCAATGGTGAAGCCAGATTCATTTAACAACCCTGCAGGGACTGGTCCAAAATGGCTTTCATGCCTAACGGAGGACTAGAATTCACAATCTCCTGGTTTCTAGTTTGGTGCCTTAACCACTAGACCAGACTAGCTCTAGTTACGACCGGTTCTTGAAGTTCTGGATATCCCAATAGCCCCACAGTGTCCATTTAATTTGTGTAATAGATCAATATTGGTTTGCTCGTTTTGTATTCCATCTTTATTTTTTTTACAAAATGGTGATTGATTCAATCTGTTTGTTATTGTGTTGATTTTTTCCATGCTTACATTATTTACATTCCATGGTCTCACTATACTTCTGTCTTTGAAGCTTTGGATTTTCTTATTCACCATGGAGACATCACAATTAGACACTACAAAGGCATGTCTAGTCATAATCTTATGGTCCAGCCTCATCATAAGTACTATAGTATTAATACTCATAAAGATCCTCACCTCTTCTTCAGTAGCATGTTGAGTACCATCTGACCTGAGGGCCCCATCATCTGGCGCTATCTTATTAATCATTTTATATTGTCTGCCCATGCAGTTTCTTGTTAAATACAAGGAATTGTTTATTCCAAAGGTGCTTTTTCAAGAGGCAACTAGACTTTCTGGTTTTTCTTTGAAGATGTTTTGGTTCTCATCCAACTTCGAAGAAGCTTCTTGAATAAGAAGCAAAATGTCTTCAAAGAAAAACCAGAAAGTTCCCATTGCCTCTTGAAAAAGCACCTTTGGGACAACCATGACCTGGATGACTGAGAATCTCCATAGACAAGGAATGGTTTGCCATTGTCTTCTCCCATGCACTATGATGCATCATCTTCCAGTATTGCTGATTCCTTTCCTTAGCTGGACAGTGGGATGGCCTTCAAGTCTTGCTGCTGGGATTATATACATTTGGCTTTTATATTTTGCTCATCTCTGCATGGAAGAGCCCTTGTTGTGATAAAGCACCACAGCAGAACTTAGGAGAGATAGCAGTACAATAGCATATTTGCACTCTTGTGTGATCAAGCAACTGGCATTAATATGGCAAAACAGGAAATTTAAGGTATTTATATCATACAAGAAATATTAAAAAATACAGTGTAATGCTACTTTTCTCAGTCACTGAATGTTTTAGAAATCTGCCCAGAAACATTGAAGCATTAATTGTGGCAATAAAACAGATCGGATAGAGTGATTCTGAGAAAATACCTCATTTTCATAAGCCTCTTAGTTCATCACTGATACTAAATGCCTACTGCTGCCAGTTTAAAAGGGCAGATGCTGTTGTTCCTTCTATGCTATGTGCACAGACAGTTCAGAAATGCAAAGCTATGACTCTAGGATTATCACTTTTCCTACTTAATAGAAGACAATGAAACTTTTAAGAAAGCAAATACATTACAGCTGTGAAACCCAAGTAAGAACCAGTGTCAGTGTCCTTTTACATAAAGCTTGATTTTCAAATAATAAACTCCTATAAACTTTAACCATTTTTTAACTTATCAGTTGCCTGAAAAATAGAAAACAAAATTAGCCCTAACTAAAACTCAGACACAGCAGCAAAACACAGTGCCATGTGGAACATATAAACGGCTCTCTTGTGCCTCATATGTTGTAAAATATGTATGTTAGTCCTAAGTAATGACTTCCAGATTTTCTACCGTGTTTCCCTGAAAATAAGACAGGGCCTTATTTTCTTTTGACCTCCGAAATAAGCGCTTGGCCTTATTTTGGGGGAGGTCTTATTATTTTTAAGGTGCAGGAGGCGGTGAGCATGGTCACCTCATGGCTGCTGCTGTGTTGCAATATTTTTGGGGAGGACTTATTTTGGGGGGAGGACTTATTTTAGCGCATGTGCTCAAAAGCCCAATTGGGCTTATTATCTGAGGAGGGAAACAGATTGAATTGTTATTTACCTTTTGTGTCAGAATGTGGTTTTATATCATCCCATGTATTTTTCTTGTAGGTATCATTTATATCATGTATGTATCATATCATATACCTTGAGCAGGAAAGAAAATGCATTTTCTTTATAGATGATAAATGTTATGCTATATGCTTTTTTCACTGAAGAACAAGTAAAAACCCTTTATATAAATAATTACAGACGACCTGCTTTGCTGTGACCTGTTATGCATATATAATTAGTCTCTGTTTACCAACTGCCTCATTTAGCAACCATTAAAAGTAACTGATGTAAAAATACATTTTTATGGCAAATCCTCACCTTTATGACCATTACAGCATGCCACAGTCATGTGATCACTAATCATGTGCTTCCCAATCACCTTATCAGTTAATGTAGAATGTGGAAATCAAACTACAAGTTTTGGTCACATATATGTTTAATGACTACAGTGACTTACTTAATGACCAAAGAGTCATTAAACCCACATACCCTTTCTGTATAGTAACATGGAGTTGCCCAATTGTGGTTGCTAAACGAGGACCATCTTTAATAATTAAATGATGTACTTTTTCATGATAAAGTAAAACGAATTTGAGAAAATAACATGTCAACTGTTACACAAAATTACAATACTTATAAAGTGTTTCATTATATTAGATTTTGTACTGCTGCTGCTGATAAGAAGTTAAGGTTATTCACATCGGACCTCAAAGATAAGAATGAATATAAGGTGAGAAGAAAAAAAATTAATTGGCTTTTAATATTATATACAGATCAATTTAAATTGCAAATTAAATTGCATTACAATGCCTTGCATTCAGTAATTCAGCATTCCGTAATTTTGAATAGACATAAACAATTGCATTGTATCTTGTATTTTAAAAAGTGATTCTAGGTGACATTTTTGAAGCACATTTGTATTAAGAAGCATGATAGTATTTATTTTAGCAATTCAGGACTAAGTTCCATTTTATAATTCTAGTGCGCATTTTAAATTAAATTAAATATCTTTATAAATCTAAAGTAGATTGAACCATGAAGAATGAAGGTGAAATTAATTTATGACATTTAAGAAGCTGCTCAGGGTTGCCTTGAATGTGAAATGGGTGGCATATAAATTTAATGAATAAATAGAAGGTGAACAGAAAGTACAACTGGTATTCTGTTACATCTTTGGGTGATGCGCAAGGATTTCTTACTCCAGTTGTTTAGTAATATCATAGACAAAATGTATTTTCTGTCTCTCTTAGTTATATATAGTAGCTGAAGGAGATAAACTTTGAATGGATCTCAGTGTTGATGAAGTGAACTATTTCAATTCTCATATTGTAATTCCTCATTTCAGAATTTTTAGATTTTCAGTGTGTGTTTTTGACCCAAGCTCAGAGTGGCAAGTCTTTGGATTTGAAATGATTCTTTATACAGAAGCAATCAGCAGCAATATAATTATAAATGAAGCATATAACCATTCAGATTTGACAGGATGAATAAAAATGAACAGAGTGGAATTAATACTGTTTTATATAATATTCTAAGACAGTACAGATACTCTCTAAGATACGTTGGCAATTGGAACCAGGATTGCCTTTGCTAGGCGAAGTGATCAGAAAGCACAATGATCTGTGACCATATCGCTTAGGGATGACAATTCAGGCAATCCCACATAATCTCAAAACATTCAGGTTATTAAAACAGGAAGCAATGAGTCTAAGGTAAGCAGTGTGGGATACCACAGGAGGTTAAGCGAGGCTCTGGGCAGGCCTTGTATGAGTTGGTGAAGGGCGGTGCTGCAGAGTAGCATAACTGCAGAAGGAGCAAAAGGGAGGAAAGCATAGTGCATGCAAGCAAAGAAAGGCCAGAAGACTTGCAATCTTCCTGCTCACTTCCTTGACTTTACTTGTGGGAAACCAACAGGAAAAGTTGCAAATAGCAATTGTTATTGATAAGTTGCAGTTGGTGGTATGTGTGAGCTGGTTACCAGGTACCTGAATTTTGTTCAGGTGATTATGAAAGGTGTTGCAATAGCCAGGACTTTGAGGACCAGCTGTAAGTTCTTTGTTCAGCACCATTGTGACTTTGGACAGGCCCTGAACAAATGGATCTTAAGCAAAGATGACTTCTGTGTCTCATCAACATTTGAAGCTTACTTGAAAAGTTAGATACAGTGTAACAAATTAACTCAGAGTGCAAAAGCATGAGTGCACTCAAATTCTGCATTTATGATGCCTTGGTATACTGATTCTATAGTATGTGCTGTGAAGTCAATTAAGAGACCCAAGCAAAAAAAATAATAATGGCAATTGCCAATTCCTGTGGAAAGTAAGACAAAAACCTGTGATAAGTGTTATTTAATCATTACGGTGACTTAGATTTATTTATCATTGAGCCTGAAGCTTCCGATAACAAAGATGGCTTTAGAATGGAATTGGTGTTTGTGCAGGCTATTGCACGTAATTCATATTATACTACATTGATGCCAATTTGAATAAACTAGATCTAAACATGCCAAATTGTCTCTTTACAAAGCTAAAATCATGTTGACTTTATTTCCTTCAAGGGTACAATTCAAAATATAGTTTCGACCAGCAAAATCCTCAGCCTAAATGACTTGAATCTTGGTCTTATATTTTGATCCTAATCTTGCTACCATCTCCTTACTATGCCTTAGAATGGTGCCTTCATTTTACTTTGGCTGATATTACTTTTAAAATGCCATCTTTGTCTTAATTCTGTAATAAAATATATTTCTCCTTTTTATTAACAGACTTTGGAAGGCCATTCAGATTACATTAATGATTTGGTATTTTCACCTAAAGGCCAAGAAATTGCAAGTGTGAGTGATGACAACACATGTAGGTATGTATTCTGTTAGTGAAATATTACTTTAATTATTTAAATGTGAAAAAAACTGAACATGTAGAAAATTGATACTTTTGTAGAATTTTTAATATTTAGAAGCTACACACAAACACACAGAATTCTAGTATTTGGATGATTACTGTAGCAAATAGATGGTCTATTTTGGCCTGTTTGAATGATGGGTTTTCAAGGGGACAGTTTGAATTGATTCATGCTATAAGAATGAAGAACAAGAGTATTTCAAACCGCTCTTTTCCTTGCTCTTCCCATCCTCTGTCTTTGTGAAGACACAATCTTCTGAGAGTCATCTTGAACATTCAGAAATACTCATTGGCAGTGGGATATGCAGTATTTTCTGTTCCTGGGTCTTAGCAGATTATCTCTGCCCTAGTCCCTTATTTATATTAATTCAGTAATAGGATTGTGCAGAACTTACATTGAAACCACAGGTTTTTTAACTGCTTGAGTGAATATAAAAAAAATCATGATTCAGTACAAATGTACCAATTACTATACAATTACTCATACTGGTATGAAAATGCATCCAAAATAATGTTTTAGTGACATCACTAATACCAGAAATTGAATATTATATTAATGAAAGAGTAGTACATAATGTTAGCATATTCTTTAAAAACAAAAATAATGTAGTAATTCTGCCTTTTACAGAAAATTTGTCAATCATTTTGCTACTTGAAGAATAAAATGATTTACAGATAAAAAATAGCATGTAGAAATACATAGCTCATTTCAAATTCAACTACAAAAAAATCTGCTAAGGATGGTCCACAAAGCATTATGAATTCTTGTGATTTAATGAGGAAAAATAGCAAAGCAATAACTGTCAATACAATTTCTGGTTGTCTTAAAAACTGAGTAAATTACTGACTCTCATCTAGTTTAAAAAAATATATTCCCAAGTTAGTTTAGATATACATGATATACGTGACTAAAAATCTGGCCTTGATTATCTATTAGCACAATTTTAAGCTGTTTTAGTATAAAATCTGTCCAGCATTTTCATTACCTATACTGGTTTTTGTTTTAATTCATTCACTTTATCTTTTTCCTTAAAATTTTGTTGAGTGACTGAAATTTTAAAATGCAGGATACCTTTCATCATCCTTTCATTTTAAAAGAAACCCTGTGCTTCTCTTAGATTATAGTGCATAATAATAATTACATAATTAATTATTAATTAATAGATTTGGAATGTCAATCCATCTATCCCAGCCCTTCACAAGGACCTGGGATAGGCAGATATATGAATACCCACTGTCAAGAAGAAGGGCTTATGATGCTCTGATGTGATTGAAACCTATACAGACAGTAGTGTATACTACCAGAAGGGTCATCCATGCCAGACAGATTTTAGCAGAAGGGCCAGTCTAAATAACCCATTTAATATGATGAAAAAACAGAAAAGAATCCTATACTAGATCAGTTGTCACCCAAGTCAGCAAGGACTATGGTCAGATATTAGACTTCCTGAACATCTGTGAACAATTTGGTAACAAGATTCAAGTGCTCTGGGTGGGCAAGTCCCAGTGGTGGGATTCAGCCAGTTTGCACCAACCGGAGAACCAGTTGTTAAGTTTCTGAACAGTTTGGTGAACTGGTTGTTGGAAGAAATCATTAGGGCAGAGAACCGATTGTTAAATTATTTAAATCCCACCACTGCCAAGTCCTGTAGTATTACTGGAAGAATAACCAAGAATGACAAAAGTATACTGTAGAATAGAAATCAGAGAATTGGAAAAGTATCAAAAATTGAAGTTGAGCAATTATGGCATAAACCAGCAGCAGTGGTCCTCTTGGTTATCAGCTCACTGTACCATACTTAAAAGCTTTGCATAATACTCAGAAAATCTGCACATTAACAAAAATTCCATCTGTCAGTTACAAAAGGCGACACTGCTTGTACACAGTGTATAATGCTGATATAGTACAAAATGGGGCAAAGTTCACTTAACAAATGTCTCATTTAGCAACAAAAATTTTGAGCTCAATTGTGGTCGTAAGTCGAGGGCTACCTGTACTCTCTCATCCTATTTTCCCTACAACTCTGTGTGATAGATTGGGCTAAGAGAGATTAACCAGCTCAAAGTCACCCTGAAACAATGGCATTAATAATGCTTTAAATTTTCAGAGCATAGATGATAACATTCATCTGTGATGCGATCAATATTGTCTCCATAATTCATAAGGACCATGAATTTATAGCAATATTAGGAAACTTTGTTTTTTATCCATTTTTGTATGTTTATACGTTAATTTATTTTTATTGCCTGCACATATTTGAGGTATAAAGCTGTTTTAGATGAATAACAGAACATGTTGCAGTAGAAGGGAGGCGGGAAAATATTCTGAATATATTCTGTAACTGAATGTGATCTTTATATTGCAACTAAATTTAAAGCAGATTAAAGCATTAAGTCATAAACTGTAAAATTGATGCAATTCTCTTTTGCTTCTTTGGCTCAGGAAGAGGACCTGATTCTTTTGCCAAAATGATTCACTGTCTTGAATTATATTAAGTTCATTTTTAAATACATAAACACACAGAAAGTGTTGATTTGGCTTGGAAAAATCTACAAGGCAAGATTTCTGGCACCAGAAGAAAGGGCTTTGTCTGCAGATTATGTAATCAAATAGATATTCTTTGTTTTCACAGATATGCACTTTAGAAAAAAGGGTTCTAATCTCCAAATTTGGAGAACCCGGCATAAATTTTATATGTATGTTTGTTTGTTTGTTTGTTGGTATACAGTATCAACATTACGAATGCATATAACTTCTTAGTTTAGAGAATACAAATTGGATATGATCTTTGCTGTAATTAACAGTAAACTGTAACAGAGTTGGGCCACTGAGACACCTAGGAATGAGCACATATAATATAGCTTTCTCCTATAAAAAATATTTTCCTTTCTCATTTTTTCTGTCAACTTCATAACCATCATCCACTGATATTAATCAGTTAAAATATACAGTATGTACATTCTATCTACTGTCAACTGCACTTAGGTTGAAAAGACAAGATCTTTACTGTGCTAGGAAGGAGTAACAATGTATAACTTCCTTAAACCCTAATCTTTTTTATGTTTAGAGTCTGGGATTTAGAAGGAAATTTAAGAGCTTATTTTGTTCTGCGGTCTCCTGGAATGAGTGTGGGCTGGCATCCTGAGGATGCATTCAAGGCAAGTAGCAACCAAACTGGGAGCTACAATTATTTACAATAATTGTATATAAAACTGAAGCATTTCAGAATTTTCCAGTGTTCATACTCTGAAAGAGTGCAAGCTTTGCAGTTAAAGGCACATTATGGTTCCTTTAGAAATGGTAACCTACTTCTTAGTTTAAGCTATTGGAAAAAGGTAAAGTAACTGGGAAATAATCACATATGCTCCCCTATGCATTTAAGGGGATTTTTAAAAAAAATGTATTATCATACTATGATAATTTAATTATTAAAATGGTCTAGCCTCATTATTTTCAAAGCATCTTGAACCTAACATTTATTGTCAGTTAAAATAATTTCCTGCCATGCTCTTTACTTATTTACTGTCTAGACAGTCTTTAAACTTTCCAAAACTCTTATGTAAGAGAAATAAAACATAAATGAAATCAGTTTTAAAACCAAATGGTATAAAAATTAAAATAGCTCTCCAAAATTATAAAATCGTAGTCCCAACTATGAGTAATAGCAGAGGTATTCAGAGGAAAAACATGAACTATAAATGGATCTTTGGGGCTGCTTTAAAAGTAAGCACTGATAGAACTTGCTGAACCCTAGGTAATAAAAAAAGTCACCTTGATAACTCTTATTTGAGGTCTGACTTTCTGACCTTTTGCAATGTCTAATGGGCATGAGAATAAATTTGGGTTGTCGGGTTTTAATTTATTGCTGCATTTTAAAGCCAGTTGGAATTCACTACATGATCTGTTTTGTGGATTTATATTGCTGGATGACATCATGTGCTTTAATCTTCAATTCTTCCCATATTTCTCATACTTTGTGTTTATGATATAATGAATTATTGAATTATGATAAATGATGGAGTTGGCTCATACCAAGTTCTTTCTTCAGTTAGAATTCATTTTTGAATGTTAGACATATAGAAAAAACAGAACTTAATTATAATGATTCTTGATTGCGCTGTTATAAGGTGTACAGGATAAAGAAGTCTAAATAATGCCATATCCCAAAAATTGCAACTATCTGTTTTCTTTCATTTGTAGTTGATGGTAGCAGAAAAGAATGGAACGATTCGATTCTATGATCTTGTGACACATCAGGCTATCTTGTCTCTCACAACCGATCAAACACCACTAATGTCAGCAAGCTGGTGCCTAAAAAATACTTTTAAAATTGGAGCAGTTGCAGGAAATGACTGGTTTATCTGGGACATTACTCGATCTAGGTATCATAAAATATTCAATGCATTTATTTTTTTACTGAAATGTTTCAGTATAATAGATGACTATTTTAAAAGTTGGCTTTTAAAAAAAAAACGTGTACAAAATATTTATTATTAAGACTACATGGCCTATCATGGCTATTTGATTTAGAAGTACAAAGAAAAAAAGGAAATGCTTAGATCTTATTTGCTGTGACTAGTCTTTAGTGTAAAAGACTATTACACTTTAACTGTTGATTTGAATTTATAGGGAAATTTTAGCCTAATACACTTTTTATGATGCAAAAAAATGAATTACACTGTACAAAGAATAATTTCTAGAAATCACTTATTGGTTTACAAAATAACTTCCTAAATTTGTATTAGCAATTAATATTGATATTAAAAGCCAAGAAAAGAGAAACATGGACAGAGAATAAAGGCAGGAAAATATTTCCACTGCATTTCTTTGCTTTATGCATGATTTTCCTTGTATATGTGGGTTGAATAAAGATAATTAAAAATATATCTTTTTCTAGCAATTCTTTTTCCACAGTACTCAAACCTACATATTCTCAAAAGTAATTTCCATGTGAAATGCTTTTAAAATTATGTTGGAAAGGAACCATTTTGTGGTTTTTAAGTGGCAGCCTTTTTTACAAATAAAGTTGTTGGATAGCATGCATTTATGATTGTTATCTTAGAATAAAGTCATGAAGTCCAAATTGTGCATGACCTACTTCTCAGCAGGAACTAATGATTTTTATTATTAGAAATTATTCTCTCTTATAGTTACCCTTTGGATAAAAGGCCTGTCCACGCAGATCGAGCCAGGTTATTCAGGTAAGTTTTATTTGGGTATGTACTTAATTGATGCATTTGATTAAGTAGCTTCTCCATTAATTATTGATAAAGGACCACAAGATTTTACTTTTGCCATTATTTCCAGATATACTTTGCATTTGAGTGATAACTGTATAATTTTTCTTAGAAGTTTTATTTTAAATTAATTGTTAATATTTTACTCTTTCTCTTAGCCTAACCCTTCTAACTTGATTTTTATGATTGGGAACTCTGAAAATTGTAAACTTAAAACATTGGGGAACTACCCAGCTTTCAAAGGACTTAGTTAGAAAATGAAAGACTGTTAAGAAAAATAGGGTGAAATAGGAAATAAGGAAGCATTGTAGCACAATGTATAATAATTTTTACATTAGTTAGAAAGGCTGTCATGTCCAAGACCTTGCTCAATGCAGGAATCCAAGTTAAGGCATGTTAGAGAAGTGCCATTCCAGCTTGAGCACATACAATTAAGTATGTAGATTCCATCACATCTTTGGATAATTGGTTTCACTGTTCAGCTGCATGTCTTTTTTCAAACATTCAATCAAAATTTTCATTCATATAAATGCATGATTTCCTGTCCCAAATGGCAGATTTTTGGACAGATGTAAAACCTTGGAGATACCAGAGTAAATGGCATAAAAATGCTGGTAATAAAATTAACAATATTTGCTTTCTAGTTCCTGAACTTTTAATTGTCTTTCCCCGTGTCAGTTTTTTCTAAAACTTTCTTAAGGTATGGTACCTAGAACTGCACATTATACAGTCCTTGACGTGGGTCTGACCATAGTATAATAGAATGAAATAATTACTTCCCATGGATTTCGTATTATATATTTCTAATGTATTCTAAAACTGCATACCCTATTTTTAGGTCTATGACCATAAGATGCACATTAGCTTTGCAGGAGAAAAATAAGAAAAAAAAAATCTGCCTCTGCTCCCAACATCCATCTGATATTCATCTGGCTAGCATCCTTACAGCAAACAGTCTGGTCAGGTTCAGCATGTTATCGCAGTCCCAGCACATAGCTCGTCAGGGCTTGGCTATGCGCCCCCCACCAGTCAGCTGAGCAACAGCCGGATCCTGGTCTCCCATAGCCCCACCGATCAGTGGGCTGGCTGACCAGAAACGCTGATGCCTCCTCTGTGTCTGCTGCCTCTACCAGGAACACTGGAGCTTTCGCTGCTGAGCAGCTGATTGGCGGTTGGACCGGCCTCCCGGAATACTGTCTATTCTAGGCGGCAGGAATCACTGCCACTGTCTATCACCAGCGGCAGCCATTCGTTCAACACCGCCGTGGCCAGTTCACTGCAGCCACTTCACCATCGCCACAGCCCGTTCACTGCTGCTGCGGCCTGTTCACCAGCAATTGGTGGTGAATGGCCTGCAGCGATCAGCTGATTGGCACTGTACCACCCCTCTCTCCCACTGCAATATTCACTATAAAACGCACAGACATTTCCACCCACTTTGGGGTGAGTGTGTCTTATAGTCCAAAAAATACGGTAGTTGTTTCACAGGAATGAAATACAATGCAAAACATTTAGTACTATTAATTGAGCCCAAAATTTCTGTTGCTAAGAAGTCAGTTGTTTTTTGCCCCATTTTATTACCTTTCTTTCCACAATAGTTAAGTGAATCACTATAGTTAAGTTAGAAACACAATTGTTATGTGAATCTGGCTTCCCCATTGAGGGTCAGAGGATCACAAAAGGTGATCCCATAACCCTGGGACACTGCAAGTGTTAGAAATATGAGCCAGCTGCAAAGTGTACAAATTTTGATCTTGTGACTATGGATATGCTACAATGGTTGTAAGTGTGAAAAATGGCAATAAGTCATTTTTTTGAGTGCCATTGTAACTTCAAACAGTCACTACATGAACTGTTGTAGGACTACTTGTATTATTGTATTTTTTACACTGAGCAAAAAGATTTATGCATGCATGTACATAGACATGCCTTAGCCCTATGCAAAGCATTCAGAAGGGCAAACTTAACATATCAGTATGAAAAAGCATCCTACTTTAAAGTAGCTATGTCTATGGAAAGATTCACTCAGATGCTTCAAAAAATGTCCATGATTATGTATATGCATATTGTGTATATGCATAGATAAAACTTCCCTGTATTCCCAACCAAAAATTGAAGCCACATGCATACACTGACAGCTGTGGACATTCTTAATAGCTGCACATACCTTCTAAAAGATGTGGTTGCTTTAATGTCTTGCCTACATTATATAAAATATTTTCAAGAGCTGTAGCATAGTCTTCTGAAATGATTCACTGCATTCACTGGAAAATATCTATTATATACCTAACGTTCCCATTGAAATGATGAAATTTAGAAGTGTTTAGTTTTGACTGTTTCATAATTATATTGAACATAATCTATTTTAAAATTTTGTTTAGATTCTCTTTTTGTGTTTAGATGGTCCCGAGTGAATGAAAACTTGTTTGCTACTACTGGCTATCCAGGAAAAATGATCAGTCAACTTCTGGTTCATCATTTAGGTCATCCTCAGGTAAATTTATGAAAAATCAAAGATGTAAAATCCATTTTAAAAAAAAATCTGTACAATTTCATCCTTAAGCAACTTATGATTATATGACAAATCAAGTGTAATACAATGTGGGAAATTTTATTTTATTTACTTCTCACTTTGATTTCATATGCTTTGAATCTACTTTATCAGAACATCTCAAGGAAAACTACATTTGTACGGTCAAAATGGAAAAAAAATATAGGCTGGAATTCAGAAAGTTACTTTAGACATGTTCTCTTTAAAGTCTTAGGCAGGCTTGTTAGGATTTTTTTTCCAGTTTACTGCTTTTAAACATTAGATTCTCATGGTGGAGTGCACAGTGTTCTTGGTAATAGCTTCGGTTTAAAAAAAAACAATATATTAAATGCCATGGAAATTGGCAGCTTAAGAAGCAAAATCCCTTTTAGATTCTGGTTGTAGGGGATTTACTGAGGATATTTGGAGCATATGAAAATATATTCTAGGTTCACCTGGCTTTAATAGCTTTAATAGGCAAGCTGTTCAATCTAAGACATATAGTATTATTAATAATTAACTTAGTGTCATTGTGATTGTGTCTTCCTAAAATAGTACTAAAATAGTAAAATTTGGCCTCTTTGGCATACCATATGAGTTGAAGTGATTATGAAACTGATTTAGAAAGTAAAGCTGAGTCTACTGGAAAAGACTTGAGAATAAATTATTGTATCTCAATCCTCTGCACTCAAAAGGAACTTGAGGATTAAGATAATTAAAATAATGTCTGTATTTTGCATCTTATACATGCTATGCATTATACATTTAGTTCTGATGTCCAGTGGATTAGATTTCCAGAAAGCAATAATGGGAACCAGTTAAAAGAATCATTTAAGGTAATACCTTATAAGAGAGTTGTAATTTCACAAAATTCTATATCTGGTAGAATTAATATTAGAAGTTACAAAATAGCATAGTGCTTATACTTTGGTTTAATGTAAATCATACAATAGAAGAACTTCTATAGATCTCAGGATAGCTACACACTGATTTAGCAAGACATTTCTGTGTGCCTCCTGATTTTCCAACTTCTAAGGCTAAAAGAGTCAGCGTATAACAAGTGCATTTTTTAGATATCCATGATGTAAACTATATTTCGAATGTGATGTAAAGGGGATAGGCTATGACAGGCAAATCTAGGTTTTACTGTGGAAAAACAACTAAATGGAAGTGCTGGCCTCTAGATGCAGTGTCAGATCTCTAAAGGTTGGGAGGACTGTCTCAATATATTTTGGACTTTATCCTCATGCACTAACAGTAGTTTTTTTTTTTTACTTGTATAGTTTATTCTTTGCTAAAGCATTATTTTTTGGCTTTTAGTTTCAAATGTAGAAGCAAGCTATCTTGAGATTTAGAAATTCTGAATTTATATCCAATTCCAGTGATGATTGCTAGGTCACAGTCAAACTACTAAAGAGTTCTTTGAAATTTATTTTGAGGTTGTCTTACTGTATGCTAGATCTTAAATAGAAAGAATAACTAAACTATTTTTTTGTTTCCTTTACAGCCTATCCTTATTGGTTCTGCACCCTTAGGATCTGGTTTAACCTGGCACAGGACCCTTCCACTATGTGCCATGGGAGGAGATCATAAAGTATATTTTTGGGTGACCGAAATGTAAAAAATTATATCTACTGTATAGTGGTTTAAAGTATCAGATAATGATTAAGGAAGGGAAGAGTTGAAGTAATATAGTTGGCTTATTTTATACTTTTTTTACAGAAACATTGCTTTTTAATGAAGTTCTGAAGATTTTAGACTTTCTAGTTTTAGAAGTGCAGCTGGATTTAACAGGGCATTGTACTCAACGTTTTCTGTACAAATCTTGTTGAAATAATATCTTGCGCAAATTTTCATTTGTTTAAAAGGAAGTGCAGTCAAGATAAACAGTTAAAATAGATTGCCTACATAGATAGATACAGACTTTGATACAATTACCAGCAGAGTAAGAATGGCTAAAAATGTTGGTTCAGATGCCATTTCAGCCTGGAATGTTCATTGACAAAGCATAGTAAAATCTTCTAATAGTGAATATTTCTTAATAAAAATTGATTCCTGATATGAATGTGTATATCTGTGATACCAAGAAGTGCTATGCTAACTGAAGATAGCAAGAAATGATGTGGTTGGAATAAATAATCTCATTTATTGGCTGCTAACTTTTACAACTGAATATATTGAGAACAAAGACAAATCCAAAATGAACAAACAGGTAGTCAATTTCTACAATGAAATTAAATTGTATACATAACAGATCTTAAGAACATTTTTTTTCTCATGATAAACTAGAACTCAATTTTTCCAGGTTGTTGAATAATGGGCAAAATCCATCCTTCAGTTGCTTGAAAATTAAATATGTCCATAAACTTTCATTTTTCTGATTTGGACCTGCACAAGACAATGCTTTTGAAGATTGAGCTGTAATAAAGACTGAACTTTTTATAACTGCAAAATTCAAACATTTATTTATTTATTTCATATGATAGTATGTGATGGGAGAGGTTCTTGTAAACTGAGATGATACAAATCAGACACAAATGTTTTTAATTAAACATGTTTTAAATAAATTTGCTTTTCTGAAGTAGTGTGTCAGTATTTTATTTCACATTACAATTAAAAATATGATTTTATTAACTCTGTTGCACAAATATAACAAGGCTGCAAGAAGTGAAACATATTCGGTAAATATATATTGCGGACACTTATTTTATTCAAATTTTAATGTTTTATTTGCTAGAGTGGATTGCCATCTGCCCTTTTTCACATTTTTTGTAAAGATCAAAGCAGACAAAATGCTGTCAAAGATTACAAAGCTTAGCGTGGATTCATATATTCAGATCACACACATTTTCAGTTCCTCTAAATAGCTTAATAGGTCAGTCTGTAACATGCAAGAATCAGAAGAAAGGCAGTTTTTAATTTCAAATAGCTTAAAGTGATCAGTATCATTTCCCTTTGTGTGTGTGTGTGTGTGTGTGTTTTCATCTGTCATGTTTGGCAGATATTTATCAACAGATAACACTATCTTCTAAATCATAAAACAATTTTACTACAAAAAGATTTATCAAAATTTAAATTTATTTTACATATGT